TAATTGTTTTTTTTTTTTTTGTTTAAAGCGATGGAAGCGACTTGTTGGATGATATTGGGGATGATGCTAAATCAGTACGCACAAACGATGATAGTAAAAAGTAAGTATATTTTTTAATATATCTATATACATAATTGTGCCCATAGTTATGAAAGTGGTCTAAGTTAAAATTAAACAAAAAAAAATGAGTTTACCAGTTATTACGCACCACATTATTAGAAACTAAATAAATTCAATGTAATTTTCAAGATAATGTCAAAAATGTATCGTCGGATAATGTTTGTTATTACAATATTATATAGAATTCATATAGTGTTCAAATATAAATCTTTAAATATCTCGAAACAAGAGATACATTACTTAGACAACTTTCATAATTATGGGCACAATTATATCATTAAATTATAATTAATATATATATATATATATAATATGCTTTTGTTTTTATGCTAGTTTTGTGAAAAAATATCGCAAAGAAAAAGTCGTGAAATATATATTTTTGTTTATTTTATTTTTAATTATTTATAAATATTGATAAATTTAAAAATAATAAATTATAATACAATATTTATTTTTTTTTTTTGAAATAATTTCTATACTTATTTTTATCTTATTGTAATAAAATATTTGATATTATTTCAATTATTTTTATTATAACATTTATCCCATTTCATGGTACAATGATCTTTCAAGAAATTACGTGATACACTGATGTAACTTCAGATGAACTTATGGTTAGTTAGATAAAAGAGATTATACTGACTCAGTTAACGATTACGTTGTATTATGTCAGATATTGTCAAGGTGACCACTACCTTGACCTAAGTCTAAGTAATAGTACTTTATTCTCTGGCTTCATCAACAACGTCACTAATCCAATATATTTCTACGTGATCTTGGATGGAAATTAAATAAATTGTTTAAATTATCTTATCTATATAGAAAATATCATATTTTTAATCATTTTATCTGTATAATTTTTCTTTTTCATCTAATTATATTATCCTCAACTTTTCTTTCTTTTTTTTTTCTTTCTTTCTCTTTCATTTTATTGCGTCAAAAATTATTAGCATTTAAAGAGAGAAAAAACATAAAATAAAAAAACATACAAACGATTTCGAAGTAATAGAAGGAATGAATGAGTCTTAGAAAGATTTATGGGAGGATCATTACCGATTACGTCATTGGCAACATTTAACTCGTTAAATAAAAGATGTTCATCATCTTGCGCGAGAGGATTGGAATTCCAGTAAGACTATCTCGTTGCATCTTTAATATCTCTTTGTCTTTTATATCTAAGTATACGTCTTTTTCGTATCATTAACCAAAATGATTACATATACGGTGACTCAAAGAATTGATCATATGTTCTCACAGATTTTCCAAGTTTTTCAATTTTCTCGCAGATTTTCCACGTTTCTCAATTTTCTTACAGATTTTCAAAATTTTTCAATTTTCTCATAGATTTTCAAAGTCTTTCAATTTTCTCACAGATTTTTCCAAGTTTGGAGAAGGTCATATCTTGTACATTAGGGTTGCATGACCAGTGTGGTCATTGGATGCGTTAAAAAATTCAAGGTCGAATGACTGCAACATCATACACATCCATTCTGTAGAAAAGTTTAATTGGATTTTCAATGTTTTTCAATTTTCTCATAGATTTTCAAAGTCTTTCAATTTTCTCACAGATTTTGAAAGTTTTTCAACTTTCTCACAGTTTTTTCCAAGTTTGGAGAAGGTCATATCTTGTACATTAGGGTTACATGACCAGTGTGGTCATTGGATGCATTAAAAAATTCAAGGTCGAATGATTGCAACATCATACACATCCATTCTGTAGAAAAGTTTAATTGGAAGCTTGGCAAAATAGAATATGAAAGCAGAATAAGTCATTTTTTAGCACGAAAACAACCCTAAATACCAGAAAGAAATCACCGAAAAGTGGTTTAAAGCTCATGGATTTGCTTTTTTAGACTTCCCCCATAGTCTTCCGATCTGAACCCAATAGATCACTTATGGGGTTTATTGAAAAAAGCAGTTGTCAATTTCGATCATAATTCGAGATGTATATTTGAATTGTGGTCAAAAGTAAAAGTTGCTAGGAAAATAATGAAAACAGTGCAAAAATTTAGTAGATAGCATACAAAGACGCAGAAAAACCGTATTGAAAGCTAAAAGAGGGTATACGAAGTACTAAAATTTCGTTTTTCCCAGACACAAAAAATTGATCAAATCCCGGATTTATTAATTTTCTTTAATTTTGCTTAAAATTGCAACATATTTAAATTATTTCTGTGTCTTTGTTTTTTTTTTTTTTTAATTTATATACGTCATTTTCGTATCATTAACTAGAATGATTATATTTTTCTTGTAATGAAATTAGGTAAAAAATTAAATATAAAATGTATCTTATTCTTTTTTACTTTTGATATACAGTAAGGAGCATTATATTGCTAAAAGAATGTAAATGAATATTAAAAAATGAACATTATAAAAAGTTTTATTTAAGTTAGAAGTAGCATCAGAAATTTTTTCAATAATTAATGTCTCCTCGTTTAGCACTGACAAACAAAATGGATTGACTCGGTTTTGCACTAGTCCGTAAAAGGAATGTTTACGTGGAATTTTTGAACAATATGTTTCCATCTAGCAGTTTGATATGATTACAAGATATTTTTTTTGTTTACGTTTACGTTCTAGCAAAGTACGTCTTAATAACGTACGAAAATAAATTAAAGCAAATATGAAATGATACAGTAGGTGTAGAAAGTATTCATACACCGATCAATTTGAAATAAATTGTTGAGAAATTGTAGTTTATTATTTAATTGTTTATAAACAATGAGTTTGTAAATATTCTCAAAAGTTTCTGCATTAGATATAATTAAATAAGAAATAATTTTTTTGAATAAATAAACAAATTGATAAGAAAAATGAAAAAAATTGGCAGAAACATACGAGCAATAAATAATCGTACAGTTCTTATTTCGAATTATTTATAAAAGAGTTTGTAAATAAACCATAATGTAAGCACAGAGAAGAGAAAAAGAAAATATTATCAAAAAATAATAAATTAAATTTGATCTTGATGATGATTTTTTTACCATTCATTAATAAGATATTTTATTAATAAGAAAAATAGAATAAAAAAAGAAAAAAAAAAGAAGTGTTAAACAGCACACGGTGTTCCCAAGCGGTCACCCATCCAAGTACTAACCCTGCCCAGTGATGCTTAACTTAAGTGATCGGACGAGAACTTGTGTTTTCATCACGGTATGGCCGTTAACGATATCTAACCATATACTAAATACACTTATTCTGCACTCCTTAACTTCAATTATAAAAAAAAAAAAAATATTAATTTTGAGGTTACTAGGTACATGTAGCTCTCATACAACACGGTATCTTATAGCACGGCTTTGCTATAACACGATTCATAAATTGTGGAATTCTTCTACAACACGGCATCCTATAAAACGGTTTTCTTTCAAAAAACCTTTTAACAACACTGCATTTCTACAGCCGCGGTGAGGCTTACCGTCTAAAAGATACTGTATTACGAAAAGTATTTATTTTCATTTCCATGGCCTAAAAACTAAAGTTTTTCTCACGCTGTTGTGAACTAAAAACATCAACGTTAAATGCATGTTGGAAGAAGATATGACCTTCTTCAGTTGAAATAGATAACGTGCGTTAATCGTTACAAAATGAAATTGGTGAGATATTAGAACCTGCTAAATCAATCGAAGATATTTTTCCACAACACAATATATGTATTGTGGGACCACTGTATGAAAATATCAGAAAAATTACAACGGCAAAATTCAAGAACATAATGGACCCACTATGATTTATACGATATAATAATTTGATATTTTTTCTTATGGATAGATGAACTATGAACATACATAAGTATGTTCTATTCTTAGGTACTAATTAAAAGTACAAAAATACAGCTCAAACCGTACGGATTTATTGGATAATTAGATACATCATATTATATATACAATATTATGAATTAAAGTTACATGTGTCTTCATAGCTCAGATGGTAGAGCGCTCGCTCGGCAAGCGAAAGGTCCTGGGTTCGAGTCCCGGTCTAAACAACCGAAGCCCGAATTGTTCAATAGGTTTTATTTAGACAATCTTTGACAATATTGCTAAGTTACGTTGTTACTTCTTCCTTAATGTTCAATCATCCTTGAAAAATCACGCACTTGCAATAGAATAGATACTATGCGGAGTGTGTATATTTCTGGAAAGAAACAAAGGAATTTGTTTGATACAATATCAATATTGTCGATGACTTTCTTGATAAAATAGTTGAATAATTTGGTCCAAAAGTTGTTCTTAGGTAGCTCAGAAGGATACAGAGCATTCGCCCGAAATTAAAGCGAGTGGAAGACTAATTTTTTTTCGATTAAATTTTTCTAATTGATTCATCTCATAAATTATATGCTTAAATCAAGTCAATAAATATATGCTAATAATAAATAAAAAATTATTTTTTCGAAAAAATAAAATTCATTCCATTAAAACTCAATTCAATATTATTACAGCTAAATAAATATTTTACGTTTGACGAGTATACTCATCATCGCGTTGATTCGGCAAAATATTTTTGGTACACAGTTTTCAATGAGGACTATGCAGCTAATTGGCTCAATGTATTTTATATATTATGTATTTTATATAATAAATATTTAATATAATGAAACTCTCAAAAATATACAGACTAACCACAATTCTTTCTTCATAATTCGATTATTTATAAAGCAATCCCTGGAGATATTGTTTTCAACAATAGGTCATTTATTAATCTTTTTAGACATATAATATTTATATTATATATTTATTAAATTTCTAATAAAAGAAAAAATGGTAAATTAATATATTGTATTACAAAATTTGAAAGTATTAATAATGATTTTTGGTTGCGTTGCATTAAGTGAAATTGGAAATTTGATAATAATTAATAACACTGTAAATATAAATCTTTAACATATTAAAAAAAAATCAAATTGGAAGGATCGAAAACATGAGTATTATTAATAATCTGAAATTTTTAGCAAGACAACAGACAACTCAAGCTCAATCGCATTTGTAAAACTTATTTTTAAATAGGCCTATTAAATAGATTGTATTACAATTTTTTATTCCCAGTCATACTCATCGGACTTTAATACCGTTCACTAATTATTGTATAGTTTAAGTAAGAAATGTGGAAGATTTTTTTTCTTCTAAATAAAAATGAAAATACAAAAAAATTGGTGAAAATATAATAATAGAATATTTTTTAATTTTGTTGAGAAATTTTGTTTTGTCAGTAATGAACCGTATCAAATTTTCTATAAGACATTGATGAATGAGAATGAAAATTTTAAAGTCCTGAATTTATTACCACGTCGGGATAGACAAAGAAAGTTCGAAAATATTGTATTGACCTCACTGTATGAAAATATCAGACAAATTTCAACAGCAAAATTCAAGGGCATAATTAACCTATTACGATATATGTCAACGGAATATCATGATTTCTTCCAATCCCTTTCACATACACAAAATGTAGATAAGTAGTAAATTGATTTATAGGTTATGTTTGTAATGTTGTACGTTATGTAGTTAAAAAATGTTTTGAATCGAGTAAATTATTTTTCTAGAGTGTTTGAAATATATGTAAAATAAATTGAGTATTGTTTTTTTCAATTTGAAGCATCTTAAATTATGTTGAATGGACTTGGACTCCTTCAAATTTTATAATGAATTTAGTTAATAATTTTGACAATGCCCTAACTCCATTCGTAGTTAGAAAACGCATATTATTAACTTAATAATTGTCACTATTTTAATAGAAACTGTAAATTTAAACCTTTAGATACATTTAAGCAGAGTTTAACTCGTTAGTATCCCTTACGTATATTTTTAATTGCATTGAAACGCAAACTTTTCAATATCTCGATTCGAACATAAATGGAGTTAGGTCACTTTTAAAATAAAAGGCTTATATATTAGAATGGACGAAAAAAATATAAAAAGTAGGGTTAGGTATGTCATATGTAAATTCCCCAATCCCCGCTAAGGTTTTGTCCCTGGACCCCAATTATGTACCGAATATGTCCTCGCATTCGTAATAAAATATTAATAAAAAATAGTATATGCAACTAGTGCGAAGTAGTCGATTGACCACTCGAGCGAATTGACTAACTTCGCTCTCGTAAGTAATCGACAACTTTCCGCACTAGTTGCATAATATACTATTTTGTTATCAAATTAAATGACGAACAAGATTTAGAAAGTATCTTATTGTATTTCTTAGATACCTTTACGAGTGATCTTGAAAATTCCTTTTTTTTATTTTCAATCATTTTTTTCAAACCACATATTGCATCAAACCTAAGTCTCGCATGTTTCGAATACGTTGCCAATACGTTCTATCTATGTAATATACCTAGTGGAACGTACGAAGTATGTTATTAAATTCGAGCAAGAAAAAAAAATAGAAAAAAAAAAAAACAGAAAAAAATAACAAATGGGTTTATACTACATGGCACATTATGGAAATTATTGATCGTTCTAGAATAAGAATCTAATTTCTATAAGTATAGTAAACCGTTACAACGGATGTTGGGATAATCGTGTGATCTTATTTTTTTCCTACCTTTCAAACCTCCCCCTCCCACTCCGCCCATTCCCAACCACTACCTCCTTCTCCTTCTCCTCCTTTTTTTACTGTTTTGTGTTTTTTTTCTTAAATTTTATTACATTAATTACATGAAAGACAAATACAGGTATATATAATATTTTCGTGTAATGGTTGGATAAAACCGTTGAACCAGTTTCTATGCGAGATTTCCGCTGGCCAATTCATTGCTCCGGGATATGAATGCGAATTCTTGGTTAGCAAATCAGCGGTTCACGGTCTTTCAAAAGCTTCTCGTTCATGGCTTGTTGAACCGGCTGACATAAATCTCTTCAATACCAACGTTCTTCGTGTATTGACGCCTAGTCACACAGCTTACGAGATTTGCATTTGAATTTTTTTTTTTTTTTATCAAAGACGGATTGTAGATCAAAAGTTTGATTGTCTTTCCAAATTATCCGATATATATTAATATTTNAAAAAAAAAAAAAAAAAAAAAAAAACAAGAAATAAATAAATATATCTCGTATTTGTATAAAAAGTATTGCATTCAATTATATAAACAAATTTTAATTCGTTTCTCTCATTTTTTATTATATTCGAAAGATAATAATTAGATAATGTAATTATTATGTAAGAAAAATTATTTCATCGATTAAATGTGACGTATTCAGTTTGTCATGTTTCTTTTTTTTTTCTAATTGTACTTTAATTAATAATTTTAATGCAATTTTCCTTGTGTGATAAAATCATTACTTTTAAATATTTAAAAAATTCAGACCTAAAATATAATTTATTTATTATTAAATAAAAGCTTACAATTTAATTACACGATGAACAATAATAAAAACAAGGAAGGAACAAAGTTGATAATAAATCAAATTTTTTTCTTCAGTCGTTTCAAAAAAAAAAAAAAAAAAGAAATACAACCTACATAACACAAAAACTTTCTAAAAATTTTCTAAAACATTTCTTTAAAAAGTTTTAAATCTTTCAAAAAGATTTCTAAAAAATCTTTCTACAAGGTGAGAATGACCGCGTTCAGAGACTTGCAAAAGATTAGAATGATGCCTGCAAGGTTTCTAAAAGAGTTTTTGGAAATATTTTACGAAACTTTCACTGAAAGATTTTAAAATCTTTCGTGTTATGTGGGAATAAATGGATAAATTTCATATTTACATTCTTATATAAATTATTATATATTATAAATTAAAAAAAAAACAAACAAACAAATAAATTATATACAAAAAGAAATGTATAATTAAAATTATAAAATTTTTCTTAATGACTTTTTTCGTGCGTTAGGTGCAAAATTATTCAACCTTTCTCTTAAAAGATTCAAAACTTTTCAACTCTTATAAAGATTTAATAAAATTTGTTTTATTAAATTTAAGAAATAATATCCTCCCACCCCACTTCTAAAAAAATCCAATCTCGAATAGATAAATCGATTAACGAAAATCACGTATTTTTTTTTTTTTAGGCAAAACCATAGTGAAATAGAAAAACGAAGAAGAGACAAGATGAATACATACATCACAGAACTGTCAGCTATGGTGCCAATGTGTCACGCTATGTCAAGGAAATTAGACAAGTTGACTGTATTACGAATGGCTGTTCAACATTTAAAAACAATCCTGGGTGCTGTTACCTCATATACTGAGGGTCATTACAAGCCAGCATTTCTCAGTGATCAAGAACACAAAACATTAATACTTCAAGTAAGATATTTCATTTTTAACATTTATATTAGATTGCTGCGTATAAAATTTCAGATTTTTAAGTGAATATATAATAGTGCATATCTTTTTACAAAAGCTATTTATTTAACACATTGAGCGCCATACTCATCTTCAAGGAAGTCCCCGTTAGGCCACACTCATTTTCAAAGAAGTCGTTTCCGTCAGGCCACGAGCACCGCTTAGATATAGCATGTTAAACGCTGTCAGTCATCGGTGGCTGACGTGGCGCTCGATGTGTTAATCAAAATATGCTCCATTCGCTTTAATATACACTTCCCAAAAAGATTTTAAAACATAAGTGCTTTTAAGTGCTTTTTTTTTGTTTCTAAAGTTTTACATTCTTAATAATTTTCTTAAAAAATCATTATCGTAATACTTCTATAACAATAGTTTATATTAATGAATATACTACTATAAATTTAAGTTTATATTAATAAATATAGTTTATTAATATTAATTAATATTTAATAGTTTTGTTACTTCCTCTGCGAAATATATTTTCAAACACATACGAATATTCTTCGCAAGTAGTCGGATAAGTGACACCCCAATACGGGTGACGCAGCCTGATCAGAAAATTTACTGGCAACCGAATACGGGCGACATGGCAGTCAGAGTGATAAAAGAGTTTATGTCAAAAACAAAAATATAACGAAAACAAGAAAAGAAACGTTTGCATGTAAAAAAAAGAATGACTTTTCATATGCACTAACCTAATATATAGAGTAGGTAAGAAAAGTATTTGCACACCTATCAATTTAAAATATAATGAAATTAATCGTTTATACAAAATTAGTTAACAAAGTACAATTTTTCACAAGATTTTATTTCAAATTATATATATTCTATATATTCAAATATATTCATAAATAGTTAATCGTATAGTCTCATTAACATAAGATTTACGAACGTGTTTCGTTCTTTGATTTTTAATGACTTGTAAACATCGTTTGAACGATAGAATTGATTTAATGGGAAGAAATAAATATTTACGTATATATTTTATTACATAACTAAAAACCAACGCATGTTTTTTCAAAAATAATAAACACATATATATAGTAGTTAAATTATAGACTTATAGACTATATAAATTATTTTACTACATAATAGGTCAGTAAGTATGAAATGTTTGATTACCTAAAGCCTCAGGTTTGATACCAGATATCTCCGATATTTCATTTCGATTGTCCTTTATTTTTTTCGCATTAAAAAGGTTCGCCATCTAGCTTTCAGATGCACTCTTTTGTTTTAAATAGTCTATCGTATTGTCGTTTGGGGGTTTAATAATGTAAGCCATGGATAAGACACAAATGCGAGTAATTTTGGAATATGAGTTCCGTCGTGGAACTAATGCAGTGCAGAAAAGCCGAAATGTTAACGAAGTGTTCGGCAAGGATGTGGCTAACGAACGTACAGTATTTCGACGGTTCAAAAAATTCCGATCTGGAGATTTTAATCTTCAAAATGAGCCACGCAGGTGGCCTAAGAGAAAGACAGATGACGACCAACTGAAAGCTGTAGTGGAAGCAAATCCATCTGAAACGACCCCTGGACTAGCAGCAAGGTTTGAAGTTACCATCCCAACAATATTAAGTCATCTGAAAGCACTCGGAAAAGTAAAGGAACTGGATAGGTTTGTTCCGCATGGCTTGAGCAAGCGTCAGCAACGAAACTGCTTCGAGGCTTGCTGTTCTTTGGTATCAAGACTAAAAGGCGATCCATTTTGGCACCGGATAGTCACGTGCGATGAAAAGTGAACACTTTACTATGAACAGTTAGAAGAAATGATGAGGTAGCTGCAAATTAAGCAGCCGAGATTGGTCAACTGGGAAAGACCAATCCTTCTGCAGGACAACGCTCGACCACAGGTTGCAAGATCGACGTTACTTAAACTACAGGAACTGGACCAGGAAACACTTTGTCACCCACTKTACTCGCCAGATTTCGCGCTAACCGATTATCATTTGTTCCGAGCTTTAGACAATTTTTTGCAAGGAAAAGTATTTAATTCCCAACATGCGGTGGAAAATGCCTTTCGCGATTTTATCACCAGCTGCTCTCTAGATTTTTTCGCTAGCAGTATTAATAAGGTATCGGTAAAATGGCAACGTTGTATTGCTAGTTTAGGTGCATATTTTAAATGATTATATTATTTATTGCCCGAGATATAGTAAAGCAAACTTTCGGTTCTAAATCAGACATTTCACACTTAATGACCTAATATATAGTAATTAAATTAATAATGAGTCAAATTGACTATAAATCTAGTCTTAAATTACATTTACATAAAGAGATAATTTATTTTCTTGAATATTAATTATTTTTTTTATTAACAGTGAAAATATTATTTAAAAAGATATATATACATATACAGGATGATGCACTAACTCTTGCCACTTAAGTGTTGAAAATTATGATAGTAGCAAGAAAGTTTTGTATTTAATGTTGCACATCATTGGATTTGTCTTGACAGTAACTATCAAAAGATAAGTATTAAAATATAGCATTTTATTTAAAAAAAACAAAGTTTACCTACAGATCTTGAAAGATACTGAATGTATAAAAAAAAAAACTAACGTTACGTTATAGTCCTGAGTCATTTATGCTACTTTTCTGTTACTGTTATATTTTCAGAGGTATTTAGGTAGCAAGAACTACTGGTAATCACCCTGTATATAATAGTAATTAAATTTTGAATGAGTCAAATTGATTGTAAATCTTGTAGTAAAATTCATTTATAAAAAAAGTTTCATTATTTTCTTGAATATTAATTTTTTTTTAACTAACGTTGAAAATAATAATTTAAAAACTAATATATATTTAACAGTAATTAAATAAATAGTATTAATAATAATTAATAAATATTATAATAGTATAATAGTAATAAAATAAATAGTATTAATAGTAATTAAATTTTTAATCAGTCAAATTGTTTTCGTAAATCTGATATAAAAATACATTTATAAAACGAGTTACTTTATTTTTTTGATTATTTTCTTTTTTTTTTCTTGTATTGTTTAAACTATAAGTGAAAGTATTATTTGGTATTACTAATGAAAAGTAAAAGATCAAATTCTCACGAGCGGTAAATGCTTAAGAATCGTATAAGGAATACGGTGATCATTGATTTCTTTTAATGAGGATAACAAAAACGTTGAGTATATTTTAACGATGTAAATAAGAAGAAGAAAAAGATCAAAAAGAAGTAGGAGAAATAATAGAAGAAGATGAAGAAGAAGAGGAATTTTTAAATGCTTGTCTCATTATTATTATGATTATTATTATTACCAAATGCAAGTAGAATTAATGTTCCTAGAAAATCGTATTTCGCGGGATTCCCGTAGCTCGATAGGTGGCCATTCATCTATTACTCTAACTTATACACGTTTGAAACAAAAAGTGTGAGAGTAAGAAAGAAAGAGAGAGAGAGAGAGAGAAAGTTTAAGTTAGTTTACGTATTTGTGCATAGGTATGTATACGTGTATGTGTATGCTTATGTACAAACACGGTATAAGACTTCCTGGTAACTTCCAAGTGGTTACGTAATTCTAAATGCCGATATTACGTGTACCTTATAGTATTACTACGTTTTTGTCTCAAGATACTCTCTCTTTCTCTCTCCAACACCTTCTAATTTATGTCATTTATCATTTATTTTTTTGTATTTTTTGTATTTTCTATTTTTATACATTTACCTTTATATATATATATATATATATATGTATATTAATTTCAATTACGTATTATACATTTATATAGAATTTTTAAATTCTAAGTAAAAACAAAGAAACAACAAGAAGAGAAAGAAAAGTTACATAAGGATAATATAAATTACTTATTCTTGGAATAAATAAATTATTATTTCGTAGAACTAACTTATACGAAAACTATATACAATTTTTAAATTATAGGTAAAAAAAAAAACAAAAAACAAAAAAAAAATAAAAATAGAAAGAATTATAAGAATAATAAAAAATAAATTAATAATTTGTCGAATGAATTTATATAAATAAATAATAGTAATATATAATTTAATAATAATATTAATATTATAATAATAATAATAATATAATATAAATAAATATAAAATATATATGATATAATAAAATTAAATATATTATATACTATAAAAAAATTGAATATATATATATAATATAATATAATATAATTATATATAAAATTATTATTTCGTAGAATTTAAATGAAAACACTATACAACTTTTATAATTATAAGTAAAAACTTAAGACCAAAAAAGAAAAAAAAAAAGAAAGAATTACAAGGATAATAAAAGTAATAAAAATTATTTAACTTTATCGTAGAACTTATATAAAAACACTATACAAATTTTATAATAATAAGTAAAAAACAGGACCAAAAAAAAAAAAAAAAAGAGAAAATTACAAAGGTATTATAATAAAAATTATTTATTCGTAGAACAATAAACAAACAAAAAAGAGAAAGAGTAATAAAGATAATCAAAATTTTTTATAATTATAAGTAAATACAAAAACAAAAACAAAAATAAAAAAACAAAAAAGAGAAAAAAAAGAATAATATAAATAATAAAAATTATTGAACTTTTTTGTAAAACTTTTAACAAGCATTGACTCTCGTTAATAGCTTTTGCAATGTTGTTTCTTGTCTTCTCTCTCTCTCTTTTCCTCTCCCTCTCTCTCTCTCTCTCTCTCACTCTCTCATTCTCTCTCTCTCTCTCTCTCTCTCTTTTTCTCGACAAAATGTAGAGATAGAACCGAGGCAAAATCCATGGGTAACCTTTCTCCCGCGTGCTACAGATTTTTCATCGATCTTAAGTCTCGTGCCAGCGAAAGGGAAGGAAAGAAAAGAGAAGGGAAGGGAAGGGAAGGGAAGGGAGGGGAAGGGAAGGGAAAGGAAAGGGTTAGTATACCAAAGCACATAGATTTATGGTATATACCAGGTAACATACTTCTCTCTTTCTCTTTCTAACATATGTCTT